GAGTCGTTTTGTTTTTTTGAATGTCAGTTGAAAAAGCTGTGTCTGTGTGTGTGTGTGTGTGTGTGTGTGTGTGTGTCTGTGTGTGTGTGTGTGTGTGTGTGTGTGTGTCTGTGTGTGTGTGTGTCTCTGTGTGTGTGTGTGTGTGTGTGTCTGTGTCTGTGTCTGTGTCTGTGTCTGTGTCTGTGTGTGTGTGCGTGCGCTGAGGGATTGTGTGGGAGTTGTTTCAGTACTACAGCCTAAATGGTTGCTAAACAGATGAGCTCTTCAAATGCTTCTAGAGTTAAGTACAGTTTTTTCCCCACATTTTTTGTGTGAAATAATACAAAATATGTCCAAAATACAATAATAAAAAATATGTTGTTTTATATTCAATGAATGTTTATTATATTAAGTAGATTATTATTTTAGATGATTTATTTAGATTATAAATATAGATAATTTATCATTTATATTTGACCATTTATAATTATTTTTATCATATAATATATTATTATTACTGTATTATTACTATTATTATTACTATTACTTTTTTTCTTCACGATTTAAAGTCTGAGTCTGGGAGAATAAAATCTAGAAATAAAAGTCATAATAAAAGTAACACAAATAAATGATGAAGGCATTATTAAAAGTGTTCAATACAGTTTTGATGTTACTTTCATGTAACGAAAAGCTAGAATAGATTTAAATATATAATATATATATATATATATATATAGACATTTGAACGAATTATCTCATACGTATGTCTGCATGTTGTGTGACACTGATGAGCCGCTGTTGTTATTGTGGCGCTCAGGGTCACGTGATGCGAAGGTGCGCACGTGTAAGTGACAGAGCCGCTCATGGAGAGAGAGAAGGAGAGGGAGGGGCGCTGTCACACCCGGAAGCGAGTTTACCAATCCTACTATGGGTAAGACTAGGCTCGTTAATATTTATTAGGTTGCTTGATTGGACGCTTCATGAGCATGCTAAATTAATATTAATGAGCTAGGCCTTGGCCATAGTAGGATGTGTAATTTCACCACCCGCACAGTGTTTTATCAGATACGAAGCGTTCTTACTCTTTGTTCACCAAGGATTGTAGGCACAGAAATTACAGTGTTGCCTGTGAAAACGATGTTTTAATAATTTTGTACCATCTGGAATGGGCGAGCGGACACTGGAACTTCTTTATAGTCGCTGCTGGTCCTTTATAGTGGCTTTACCTTCTAAAGGTAAGTAGCTACAGTAACTTAAGCCAAAATACGGCAATATTTCTATCCTCGTAGTTAAGATTTTGGTTTAACTTTATAAACAGACAAGTAATATTACCAGTTTACCATGATGCATAGTATTATACAAATAGTCTAAATATTTAAAGCAATGTGTCTTAAACTAATGGATTGGATGCCAGATCATTTCACTGGTTTAATTATGTTTTATTTCACGTACATCGTTATTTTTTTGTTAAAATATATTTTAGAAGCTTTTGGCGTTCAAACTTTGTATATTCAAAATATATGCATCTACAAATATATTTTATTGCACACATTTTATTCATATTTTATCCACAGGCCTATCTCGTATTCATTAAATATAATTATTTTAACATTTGTCATTTTCGGTGTATATATAGCCTACACGTGCTTTTTTAATTAATCGTTTTTATCTTATGTTGGTTTATGACGGTCTGGACTTTGTTCTGAAGATAAATGTATTTCTTTCAGTATCAGCCAAAAGTTTAATATAATTTTATTAGCTATTAGTACTGTTGTTGTTTCATTGCACTACATTTAATCTATCTATATGGCATTATTAAAATGATAGAGAGTATGACTGGGCAGATTTATAATGTGCGTTAGTTTTAACGTGCCTAATAATGTTTTAGTGATGTTACTTGTGATGTTAGTCTTTAGACGCTCATAAACCCGTGCCCAGGAAATAAACAGCCATGGAAAATAGTTAATTCTGTTATAAACAACTAATAAACCGAAGAAAAGGACTGTATTTATGGTGTGCTGTGAAAGTTTACAGGAAGGCATGAGCTGAGCGGATTTTGCAGAAAATGAAGATTGGACGTGAGCTACGTGCGCATCCAGGAGTAGACGACATGACATGGAGAGACTGCAAAACACGGACCTGTTAAATACACAGGCACGCCAGAGTATCTGTTCACCACAAGAGAGAGTCACCAATGGCTGTTGTGAGTCTCACGCGGTGAGTACAATGGGTCTGAACGCGACCACGGCGGAGGAGCTGCTGGCAGGACATGCGTCTAGATCTGGATCCGGGATCAAGCTTTTGAAGGAGTCCAAGAGCTGCTTGCCTTTGTATAATGGTGGAGTGGTATCCCCTTCACCTACAGCAGAAGAAAGGTATCAATGTGTGCCTGCGCAGACGCACAGCGGGTGTTTACATCTAAATAGACTAGTGGAGACCCCCAATGGGGGACCCACAGCTAATGGGGACAGGCCTTTGAAGAAGCCTTGTGGAGATGTGCGGTTCAGACAACTCCTGCACCAGAGCAGAAAAGATGAGGAAAACGGAGACTTTGGGGCCCATGGTGGTTGTCCCACAACGGGATCTGGATCTAGCGGTTCTTCAGAAACGTCCCATGGACCGGACCCTCCGTATCCTCCACTTGAATGCAAAAGGAGGAGGTTTGAAACGGACTCTAGTAAAAGCACATGGGCTGTTACGCCCCTCGCAACCAATTACCAACACAAAAACGGTGGTGTTCCCAGCTCCATGTCATCCCCCGGTTGGGTCCATCACAATGGGCACAAAGTTGCAGTGAACCATGCACCCCCTGGCCAGGCTGAGGTGCGGTCCGCGCCACCTGCGGTGGCCACCAGTGCAGGCTGGTCTCCAGAGCACATGGCTCAGCAGTACATAGTTCCTTCTATGAAGTTTTACGGCATTTGTGTCAAAGATGGCTTCCTGGGCGATCGACTGGGGAGTAAGGTTCTGGAGGAAGTGGAGACTCTAAATAACAGCGGGAAGTTCAGAGGAGGCCAGTTGGTCAGCAAAAAAAACATCCCATCTAAGAACATCCGTGGAGACCAGATAGCCTGGGTCGAAGGCAATGAGCCGGGCTGCGAGAACATTGGAAGCCTCATGGCTCACATTGATGAGGCCGTCATGCGCAGTGCGGCCAATGGACAGCTGGGGAATTATGTCATAAATGGCCGCACCAAGGTGAGTGAGAGGCGATGAGGTGGCATATCTGTGCTTAAAAATGACAGTTCTGTTTTCATTTACTCATGTGGCTCCAAAACTATAACTTTCTTTCTTCTGTGGAACATAAAAGAAGATATTTTGCCAAGCAATGGAAGTCAATGGCGTAACCAAATTGTCAAAAACATGCTTCGCAATATTCAAAAATATGCCTTCTAGCAGTATAAAGAAAGTCATACAGGTTAGAAATGACATGAGGGTGGAGAAAGTGATGACAGAATTATAGTTTTTGGGTGAAATATTTGCTTTTGTTTGGACCATGCATGGTAACACTTGGAATAGCTGTCACACTTTTACTGCAGTAAGCATTTCTCGGGGTAGGTTTACTTTGTGAAAGTCAATATCTGTATAGGCACAAAGAAATAAAAACGATTTACAATTTCAACCATTACTGCACGTGAAAATAAGATATAGTTTATTTACAAACTATATGGGGTAAGTTGTCACAATGAAACTATCTATAACTATAAATGGCTAACCATAAAACAGGCTTTTCAGCAAACAATGGTATAAAATGAACATCTAAAATGTGACAAAGTGCCCTGACCTTACAGTACATGCAAAACATTCTTGTTAAAGGGATAGTTCACCCAAAATTTTTTTTTTATTTACTCACGCCCTCACGCTAAGTTGTTCCAAACCTGTATGAATTTCTCCCTTCTGTTGAACACAAAAGAAGATATTTTAAAGAATGTTGGTAACCGAACAGTTGCTGGTGGCCATTAACTTCCATAGTATTTTTTCCATACTATGGAAGTCAGTGGCTACTAGCAACTGTGGATACAAACGTTCTTCAAAATGTCTTCTGTTCAAAAGAAAAAAGAAACTCATAACAGGTTCGGAACAACATGACTCATCATCATGAGTAAATGATGACAGAATTTCCATTTAAGATCTAAAATCTTACCCGAATAGCGTGGTTTTATTGTGTTGACAGGTTTATCCAACATCTGGTGCAAATTTAAGACGATTTAATTTTTTGCTCACATGTGATCTGTTTTACTCATGACAGTGTGAACAGCACAAATCACATGGAATCTGATCTTTTCAATTCCAATTCAGTTCCGATACTAAATCCGATACAGGTCAGTTTTGCAATGCAACTGCAGTCAGAACAGTCATATCTGAATTGATGTGACTTTTACGTCACTCTTGATCAACATTTGTCACGATTCTGCACTCAAGGGAGTCACTTCAAAGATTTTACATACCCAAAGTTATCAAGACAGTTGCGAATGGTAGTCAGTGGAAGTACAGTGATGTGTCAAAACTCACAAGTATTACAGTGACTCTATTTGCAAGCAAAACATGAGGGCTCGTATAAAAGTTTCAAAACTCTGCTCTCTTCTGTCACATCCTTGTCTTTATTTTTCATATTGCCTGCACAAAATTTAGCTGGCTTCTGTGCCAGATCACACTATAAATAAACACATAATCACTTACTTTATGTCCTCCGTGTTTACTTCCGCATGACAGCTCAAGTGTTGCCAAGTCCACAGTTTTCCCGCAGAATTAGTAATTGGCAACTACTGTTGCCGCGTGTTGTTTTTCAACTCTGTGGGTTAAAGTGACCCCACTAACGTGATATTTACCTCCCCAGAACACGACTGGGCTAGTTTTGAGAAGCAATTGGGTGGATTTTGTTGTGAAAACCTGGCAACCCTGTTTGTATTGTTCTTTTGGGCATGCAGGTCAATTCAGAACCATGATCTGTTCACACTGGAAATCTGATATTGGCCACATTTAAAACAACAATGTGAGCAGCTATACAAATTGGATCTGAGCAATAATCAGAATTGAGCAGTGCACTAAGGCTCGCAGTGTGAACGTAACCTAAGTTGCGGTTACATTTAGCGTTGATAATGAAATGTTGCCGGCAAAATCCAGTCATTTCAATAGGAATCAATGGAATCTGAAATTTTGTTTAAGGGTGAAGAAGTTCCCCACACAGGTTTCATATCAGGTTCAAGTTTTTCACGCAACTTCACTGCGTTGACCAACAGAAAGCTGCTTGATCTGAAAATGACTTCTGTGTGAGTTTTACTTTGTCTATCACTACACTATTGACAGTGGACATCTTTTGAAGTACAAAAATGAGCTGAAAATTCACAAATGTCACCTCGCCTTTATAGTTTCAGAGATCTAGCCAACATCTATTCTATCTATGTTTATTCAATTTGTTAATATCAGTAGATGCTAGTTTAGCTATTACTTTAAGGCTAAAACTGGCACACACAGTCACCGGCAGACAGTGCACAACTGCATTCAGGAAGTTGCGGTTGAGTCTATCAGACAAGATATTGACTGTCTGTGTTGTGTTTCTCACTGTTACACCGTTCTCAACTACCAGTCTGAGAAATGCAGTCTTATCTGATCCCAGTTCAGTGTTTCTCTGGCTTTGAAGACTCCTCTGTCAGTCTATCAATCTCCAGCCCATATACAAACAACATATTCTTGCTGCCACTAAAGTGCATCGCTTGCGTGGTAAGGTGTGTGTGCATGCTTGTATATACAGTGTGCTCATTGTGCTCGTGAGACCGTATCAGAGCTTATCAGACAAAAATCGCTAAAAAACAAACCCTGGATCTGAAAATGAGAATTACGTTTTTTTTGTCAGGTTGAAATATGAGCGTAATTGAAAATTTCTGACATCACAAACAGTTGAGAAAACAAGTTGCTCAGTTATTACTCTACAAACATACACCTTTGTTTATACACCAAAATACAGTAAAATGGTAATATTGTGGAATTTTATTAAAAAGAACTGTTTGCTATTTGAATATATTTTAAAATGTAATTTATCCATGTGATGCAAAGCTGAATTTTCAGCATCATTACTCCAGTCTTCAGTGTCACATGATACTTCAGAAAACAGCTGTGCTGATTAATATTTTTGAAGAAACCATGATTCACTATCATTCAAAAGTTTGTGGTTAAAAAAATATAAATGATTTATTTTATTCAACAAGGATGCAATAAATTAAATTAAACAAAATAATGTGACAGTAAAGACATTTATTATGTTGCTTAAGTAACTGCAGTTTTTTTTTTTTTTTTACTTTCTATTCATAAAAAAAATAAAAATAATAATAAGCAACAACGGTTTTCAAAGATGAAAATAATAAGCATAATTTTTAACAATTTAGCACTAATAATAATTTATAACAACTGAGCACCAAATCATGTGACACTGAAGACTGGAATAATGATGCTGAAAATTCAACTTTGCAGGAAAAAATATATTTTGAAACGTTAAAATAGAAAACAGTTATTTTAAATTATACTTCAGTTTTTATAATATTATACTAGTTTTACTGTATTTTTGATCAAATGAATGCAGAGTGAGCATAAGGGACTTCTTTCAAAAACATTAATTATTCTTAAAGGGATAGTTCACCCAAAAATGAAAATGTGATGTTTATCTGCTTACCCCCAGGGCATCCAAGATGTAGGTGACTTTGTTTCTTCAGTAGAACACAAATTATGATTTTTAACTCCAACCGTTGCAGTCTATCAGTCTTCTGCGGCTCGTGACGACACATTGATGTCCTAAGACATGAAACGATCGGTTTGTGCGAGAAACCGAACAGTATTTATATCATTTTTTTACCTCTAATACACCACTATGTCCAACTTCCTTGAGCGCGTGCATGGCTTCCGGTGCATGAGGTGTGTCGTCACGAGCCGCCGGGTTTAATTTGGATTTGTCTGTGCATGTTTTTTTTACTCTCATAGATTTTGTTACCATTGCCATGCATTATAAGACTGATAGACTGCAACGGTTGGAGTTAAAAATCATAATTTGTGTTCTACTGAAGAAACAAATTCACCTACATCTTGGATGCCCTGGGGGTAAGCAGATAAACATAAAATTTTCATTTTTGGGTGAACTATCCCTTTAATCTTAAATATTCCGACTACTACTGTAGCTTCCATGCATTATTGAGTCTCTGTATCTGAATACACAGTAATTTTTATAGCTGCGGGAGTGTTATGAATGCAAAGCCAGACTACAGCTCAGGACCATGTGGAAATTCTTGTTGTAATCACATCCCGTCATTGCTGTTGCAGTTAGAAACCTGATCTGGATGACCTTTTTATGAATCTCAGGACGGTGTCAGCATGTTCACTGCAGCTCTTTCGTTAGAGCTCTTTTCTCCTCCCGCATGAGTCTTCTGTTCAGTTGGTCGGATCAGTCGCTGTTCTCGAATCAGCCTTAATCTGCAGTGAATACTTTTTGCTTTTACCTTACAGTATGCCACACCAGTGTAAGATTGCTGCTTACATGTGTAAATGATCAGAGGTTTTAGAAGAAGTCAATGTTGATGTGCGACTTCACACCTGTGTTCAGTCATACGTTTGTGCCTGGAGGAAAAATCTCATACCGCAAACCTCGGAATGGGAACGCTATACTATGACATTCACATGCTTTTGCAAAAGGTTGACGAGGGCTTGATATTTAGTAGGTCTGCGACTTTTGATAACCAGTTTGTTGTTTATTTTGGTTGAATAGAGTTTTTTTTTTTTTTGGTAATAGATTGTAAGAAAAAGTGAAGACGTCGAAGATCTTGATGAAGAATAACTTTTATTACAGAATAGTAGTGACAAAGTACATGTAGTACCTTGGGTTCAACGGAGTCAGACTGAACCCCGAACATCCTAAGCTCAAATATTTTATACACTTAGAGTTTACCCTCAATGTAAAGGAAGTTGCTCCTGTTGTTACAGCTGTGGTCTGTATGTTAATTAAGTTCTGACACCCCTTTTTTCTGAGGTGGTTCTCAGTGTCCCACACCTGCTCCCATTCTACAATTGGTCACCATTTGCTCAGGATGTGATCATCCCAAGTGATCTACAAACAACATAACTGTTGATTTTCTTCTTCTCTATAATAATTAAGCCATTTTGGGAAATGAGCATGATCAAACATATTGTGGAGTAAGAATCTGGGTCGGGGCAGACTATAGATTATTACAAGATCCAGTGCTCTCCTTCAAACAGTGTTTTAAAGTTTTGTGGAATATATGATATAATTCAGTTATTTGCGTTTGGTTTTAAGTGCACATAGTACTTTTAACCAATTTGGAGGATATCTCACCCGCTGAAGACGAGGTGAAACACAATCACCAGGTCCAGATCTGTGTACCTGGACCTGCTCGTGAGGGGGCTGCATAAGCCAATCAGTCCCATCGACTCTGTTCGATCCAGGAGACAGCACCAGTTGTGATGCATGCCATTTTCTACCGTCCGAAAGGATGAAAGTATTCCTTCCCACCTGCTTTCTGATCTCTTTTGGCTCTGAAAATCTTGGGTGTCCTTTTGGTACATGCCACGGAAGGTTAACATGCACTTTGTCCCCTTGTTTTTGAAGAGTCAAGTCAAGTCACCTTTATTTATATAGTGCTTTATACAATACTGATTGTGTCAAAGCAGCTTTACAGTGTCAAACAGGAACATCGTTTGTCAATAATGCAAGAAGACAATAACAAAGAGTCATTTTTCCAGCTAAAGTCATGTCATAATCCAGTTCAGCTCTATATTTATTTAAATTTTTTTGGGTGAAATACAGTATCACTGTCCTTTGTCCTTTAATGACAAACTGGCAGCATGTTTAGTTGTATAGTCTGCTGTCACAGCACGCATCTAATATATATACTGTTTACCTTCACTTTAGACATAACCAACTGCTTATATGTAAACCTTTTGTGTTTTTATTGGCACAATCAGATGCAAAAGATAACTTAGTCTAGTAATCAGGCACTGTTTGACAGGCTTCTTTGTGTTCGCGCGCCTCAGGTGTACGAGCTCAGAAAATGTCAGAGCAGTGCACAAATTAAATGTTTAACCAGCAAGGCTTTAAAACACAATTTTTATTTTAAATGAATTAGTGCAGTGTCCCGTGAGTGTAACTCTACCGCTGAGTTAACACTTGATGTGAATGTATGTCGCGTT